GCCCCAAATTAAATCTCCCAGTGCTAATAAAAGCTTACTTTCTTCTTATTTTGTCTCTCACCACAAAAGACCACCCAAATACACCTTTCCAAATTAGACTTTGTTTTTCTCTCTTCGACCCTCCTCACTCTCCTCTATCATATGGCTTATCCGAGTATACAGTGATGTGTCTGTTTTTAGTTTCCTCAAGTTTAACTCTTAAAGATTAGGGATTGAGTCTGTCATACAAAGGGTATTTCACTAAAAGTTTATTGAACTGAATTACTCCTTTCACCTAACTAGTGGGGCAGTAAAATAAATCTTACTAAAATGGGCAATGCAGTAGTTATATCTGAATCAATGAATCAGACTGTCGTATCTAAAGGAGTCCCAAAACTTATCATGATTATAAAGAAAATTAAAAGTATATCTTTTCAAAAACTAAAAGAAAAATAAAAAAAGATGAAGGACAGAGGATGAGAGTGAGTGAGTATGGTGGAAGTATTATTATGCTCTTTTAACTGTAAATATGAAATACAGGAATGTTGTTCCCTTTACATAAATTTTAAAAAGTAAAAAAAAAGTTCATTAGTAAGCAAATAGATAAATTTAAAAAATGTAAGATGAAGCAAATAAGAAGTCTGCTTTAAGCAAGTCTTTAAACTACAAGAAAATTAAAAGTTTGAGATTATATCACAAAAATAAAAGGAAACTTACTGTGTCCCATGCCCCTTTGGATGCTTGATTTCTCATTCTAATATCCTATGCCTAATAGATACCACATTCTGCTTGAATATTTAATTATCAGAAGACTATGACATCTAGAACTAGAAAATTCTTCACATTAGATCAGAGTTTAAAAGCACTACCTTCAGGTTAGCCAAAAATTTTTCTTCCTTTAGCCTCTGCAGAACAAGCCTATTACTCTTTGTATAATAATTATTCAAATATATTAAGGCACTTCACATTTTCTGTATCTTTCTTTCTTCAGGAAAACATTTCCAATCTCTCAATGGCTCATTTGCATTGTTTAAACTTCTTTCTCCACACTTTGGAAGAAGCTTAAGCACTGCAGAATCAGGTAGAACTATCACTACTACTCTCATCTTCTCCACATTTCATTCTGTATTTACATCAGTTCATAAAGCTCATGGCACCACCACAATGAGACCACTTCTACACATTGACTAACCTCCTCTTAAATGTTTTTTAGACAGTCTTTCAAGGCAAACTCAGTCATCTCCCTGGGTAAAGGCTCTGTACTTGGACATTCTTAGATGAAGAACTGGCCCATTTGTTAAATTTCATCTTGTTTGATCTCTCCATTGGTTCAGCCATGCTAAGAGCTCTAGGAATCCTGCTCTGTTTTCTGTGCAATCACTACCCTTCCTTGATTTAGTTATCTACAAACTGGCAGGCATTACATTCATCAGGCTCATCCCAGAATCAACATCAGTTGGGCTAAGCAGGGAAGTTGTTCCTGAAGGCTTTTTCTTCAATCCTCATAAAATGATACTGATTTAAAGTAATATGCTTTGAAATACTGTGACCTCACACTCTCATTCAGTGACAAACTGCACAGTCATAGTAGAGCAAAGAAGTACTAGGACCAAAGGCCCAGCCCTTTTCTGTTCCCAACTCCTGGTTGCACGGCTAACCTCGGGGACAAACATCTTGGGGAGATGGCTGTCAGTTAAGGTGACTCCATCAGTAATGAGAGTCAGAATAGAAAGCACAAACCAACACTTTACCTAGATTTCTTGGATACAACTATTTAAGTAACTTCCTACCCAAGCCATTTTTTTCTTAGTGGCTAACACAGTATTTCTGAGCAAAGCAACCCCAGGTGTGAACACGCATCCATCTCATGACATGTTTTAAAAATATATATATTTTTCATTTGGGCAAGCAAAATGACTACATTTTTTAGTCCTCTTATATCTAGGTGAAAGCTTGTATCTGTTTTTCAGCTATTAGACAATTATTTATGCACATTCATGCCATAATGTATAATCTTTTCAAATTGGAAGAATAACTTAGTGAAGTTTTCCTCTCTTCTTTATCATTTAAGACCAATAATCAGAAAGTCTCCAAATTTTTTCACAGAACTTTGCAAAACTTAATATATATGTGATATACATATACATATAACTGAAACAGGACGATGATGGGATGTGTTATTTCTGATGTTTACTTATTTTATGATTTATTCTTTCATAAGCCTACTTAAGTCTTAATTTAAGGATTCTTTTTAGAAATATTCTTTTTGCTACAATCTATGAAGAATTTGAAGTATACTTTCTAAATCTGACTTACTTAAATAGCTCTATTATTCTAAGTATAGAAAAAATTAGAATAGAAAGCTGACAAAAATTAATACTGGTCAAGTTGATATCTCTTAGCAACAACCTTAAAAGACAAACATATGTATTTATATTTTAGAGCAAGTTGACTTAATATGCAGGTAAAATCTCACAGAAGAACATTATAATGTAGGTTTTGTTAAATCTTCTTTGTGGTAGTATCTTTTCCAAACTGGTTGTGTCATGCAGGAGGTAGTAAACAAACATGGGAATGGTAGCATCAATATTATTGTTTTTCAAGACTCAAATTACAGAATGCAATATGGAGCGCTCTACATTTGTGGTAATTCACTAAGTTCATGGAACACAGGTTATGCTGTACGGGGAAGCCATTTGACTGTCAATTACATACTGGAAATGCTGTTTACCTAAATTTAAGCATAAAAGGTTAGTTTGATGGTTTGAATATTTGGAGATGGTAAAATTGACAAAAATGTAAAGTTGCTTTTACTATAACAAGCACAAGTTCACAAGCATTCCTTTTTTTCTTCAGAATTTACTACCATTTTATACATTTGACCTCCATAAACACTAAGCAGTTTGCAATGTCAAATTCTTTTGTTGGGGAAAATAAGTGATGGGTTACAAGCATCTATCTTCTGTTTTAAATCCCAATGAGACTCTAATTTTGTCCTTCTGTACCTCTGGTTCACATAATTTAGTCTCTGGTGTCTACATCATTTCATTTCTCTAAAACTAATGTTCTACATCCAAGTAGAAACTAAGGGTCTTATTCAAATGTGATATATTTTAAAGGTATGTAATATGTAGCTAGCTTCTCTCTAATATTTCATAATTTTTATTTTTGTGCAATAATTTCCATCCCTATCTAATCTGTTTTCTTTTTTTTTTTTTTATTTACCCATTTGAGAAGGAAATAGTGAGAGGGAGGGGGACAGAGAGACAGACAGAGATTTTCAGACAAAAAAAGAAATCTTGCATCGATTTGTTGACTCCCCAAATGTCCACAATAGCTGAGTCTGGGCCAGGCCAAAGCAAGAAGCTGAGCATGCTATTAACTCTTCCATGTAGATGGCAGGAACCCAACTGAGTCATCACCACTGCTGCCCAGTGTCTGCAGCAGCAGGAAGCTGGAGTCTGGAGCCAGAATCAGGAATCAAACCCAAGTACTCCAATATTAGATATAGGTGGTTTAACCACTAGCCTCACTTTCTGTCTTTTTTCTTGTTAATTACTTTATATGATGTTGCTATATGACAAATATTGAAAAATGATGAACGTTGGAGATTTTCTTAGAGCAAAATTTTTCTTATTTATAATTATTTAGTTATTGTTATTCAAATTAAGTAGGAAATATATTTCTGTTTATAACATGACTACCGTGAAGATTAAATTTATTTTTTCCTAATTTCCAAATAAGGTTTTCAAATTGGTGTGTCTTCACTACAGGAATTCATTTTAATATGCCTTCTCCAAGCTGTTACCACACTTTATCTCTTTCCACACTTACTTAATATTTTTTTTTATTTTCTAGAAGCATGGATAATGATGTTTGTTCATGGCTTTGCCAGTTTTTAATTCATTAACTCTACTATCTCTGAGGGTATTACTTCTGAAATCTTTGTCTTATTACAGACTTGCATAGTAAACCAGTAGCTTTGAAAGGGCTTAAGAACTGTTTTTGTAATTTCCTGGCACTTATAAATACCACAATTCTCATGCATAGAAGATAACACTAAAAATGAAAACATAATAAAAAGTTGACTGCTGAAGAATGAATTGGTGGAGTGGGTATATGGCCAGCAGCTAAGATGTAGATTAAAAATGATTTTCCCTACCAGAGTGCCTGGATTTAAAACCCAGCACCATTTCCGGATCCTAATTCATGACAATGCAAACCTTGGGAAGAAGTGGTCATGGCTCAAGTGATCAGGAGTGGAGTGTCTGATTCCTGGCCTCAGCTTAGCTCAGCCCATGCTGTTGTGGTATTCTGACAGGTAAACTTGTGGCTGGAAGATTCTTTCTCTCTGTGTGTGTGTGTGTGTGTGTGTGTGTTTCTCTTTTTCATATAATGACTATCTTTCTATGTTTTCACACCATAAGCATCTTTTGTAAGGCTGGACGAGTTTTTGAGAAATTCCTTCAATTTCTGTTTGTTATTTCTTCAATTTCTGTATGTTATGTTTATTTCACCTTCACACATTGATAAATGAGTGCTTTGTAGTGTACACTATTCTGGGTTGACTTTTTTTTTTCTTTTAAGACTTGGACTGTATCTCTTCATTCTTTTTTATCCTTCGTGGTTTCTGATGAGAAATCATTGTGAATCTAAATGAAGATTCTCTGAAAGCAACCTGGCATTTTTCCCATGCACATTTTAGAATCTTTGTTTTATATTTTAGTTATAAGTTTCTCTATAATGTTTTGTGTTGAAGATCTTGTCTGCCATGTCTACTAGGAGTTCTACATGCTTTTTGTACTTGAACATCCCTTTCCATTTCCAAATTAGGAAAGCTTCTTTAATTATTTCACTGAATAAGCCTTCTAATCCATTCTTTCTTTCCTCACCTTCAGGAACTCCAAGACCTGTATCTTGGGTCATTGATAGAATCCAATAAGTATCGAACATTGTTTTTAATTTTTTCTAATTTGTTCTTCATTTCTTTGTCTAAGATATTTCCAAATACTGTCTTCTAGCTCTGATATTCTTTCTTCTGCCTTCAACATTATGCTGAGTGAAATGGACTTCAATGCTTCTAGTGGATTCCTCAGCAGAAACCCCACATGCAGAGGAAGAGTGGGCCAGTATACACGAAGTGCTGAAGGAAAAAATAAAATATTTGCCAAACAGAAATACTTTATACAATGAAGTTGTTCAGAAATTAAGGAGAGATGCTTTTCCAGATAAACAAATGCTGATTGAATTCATCACTATCAGACTCATCTTACAATGCTACGGGATTTGTTCAAACAGAAAGAAAAGAATGCTAATTAGTAAAATAAAATCATATGAAAGTATCAAACCCATTTATAAAATCAAGCACACAGAAAAATTCATGATAATCTCTATGGTGATGTGTAAGTCACTTCCGTCTTTAATATAAATATTTAAAGAAAAAGCTATTCAAATAACAAAATTAAAATAATTTCTTAAAGGGTACACCATATAAAATGTAAATTATGGAAAAAGAAGCATAAAATGGAAGGAGTAAAATGATTTTATTTTTAATATGACAAAATTAAATTGTTATCAGCTTAAGATAGCCTGTTATAATGGTAAAAGATCTTATGTAAATCTCATGGTAATCACACAGAGAAAACCTATAGTAGACACACAAAAGGAAAAAACATAAGAAATCAAAGTGTATCACTGTAGTAAACTACCTAATGACAAAGAAAGGCATCAAGAAAGGAAGATAGAATCTACATAGCAACCAGAAGACAATTAGCGAAATGGCAACACTACCTCTTCAACCATCAATAATCACATTAAACGTAAATTAATTAAATTGTCCAATTAAAGGAAATACAGAGCCTAAAAAGAAAACAAGCACAGGACTCAATTAAGTGTTCCATTTATGAAACTGGACTTAACTTTCTGGATGCACATAGGTTGAAAAGAAAGGATGGACATGAATATTTCATTCAAATGACTTTAAGTGTAAATATTCACAGTAGACAAAGAATGCCATAATTTAATGATAAAGGGATCAATTAATCAAGAACATAACAATTACAAAGGAACATCTACATGTATAAAGCAAATATTAAAGGACACCAAGGGAAAAACAGCAGTATAATAATGTTAGAAAAACCTCATTATCTCTTTTTTATCAATGGTAGATCAAATAGGCAGAAAAATACAAGGAAATACTAGATTTCAATTGAAATTTTGACCAAATCATCCTAACAGATGTCTTTGGAACATTCTATCCACCATTGATAGAATGCACATTTTTTTTCTTCTCCATTATAGACCACAAAACAAGTTTTAGAAAGTTTAAGTATCAAAATTCATCTAGTTGAATTTTGGATCACAACGATCTGAAAATACAAATCAGTAAGCGGAGAAAAATTGGTAGATTTTCAATTTTGTTGAAATTATAAAGGCACATATTAGTAAATGTGTCCAAAAATTTAAAAGTAAATAAAATATATACTGAAACAAATGAAAACAGTAATGTAACATATCAAAACCTACAACATGATGTGAGAGCAGTGCTAAGAGAGAAGTTTATGGCAACAAACACCTCACTTAGAAAAAAAGTACATCTCACATAAAGAACCTCAAAATGTTCCTCATGTCCCAGCTACTCTGTTCAAATCCAGACCCTGCTTATTTCTCTTCTAGAAGAGTTGCAAGTTTCCTCAAAAAATTAAAAAACAACTACCATATAGCAATCCCATTTTTAAGTATACATACAAAGGAAGTAAAATCAGTATTTTGAAGAGACATTTTCAATCTTGAAAAATAATAAGGTCCTATTTGAAAGAGAGATAGACGTACAAAGATAGGGAGGGAGGAAGGGAAGGAGGGTGAGAGGGAGGAAGAAAGAGAGAAAAGAGACAGGCTGCACTCCTATCCACTGGTTCACTCCCAAGTACCCAAAACACCCAGGACATAATCCAAGTCTCCGATGTGGGTAGCAAAGAACCAACTACTTAAGCCATCACTCCTGCCTCCGAAATACTGCAACAGTAGACATCTGATGGATAAAGAAATTATGGGATATGTACTCTTTAGAATACTATACCGCAGTAAGAAACAACGAAATCCAGTCATTTGCAACAAAATGGAGGAATCTGGAACACATCATGCTGAGTGAAATAAGCCAGTCCCAAAGGGACAAATACCATATGTTCTCCCTGATCGGTGACAACTGACTGAACACCAAAAAGGAAACCAGTTGAAAGTGAAATGGACACTATGAGAAACGGTGACTTGATCAGCATAGCCCTGACTGCTAATGGACAACTTAATACATTATCCCTTTTAGTAGTTTTGTTGTCTGTTCTACTTAATATGACTAGTTTAATTCTGTAATTAATACACAGTTATTCTTAAGTGTTGAAATTTAACTGAAATGTGATCCCTGTTAAACATAAGATTGGGAATAAGAGAGGGAAGAGATGTGCAATTTGGGACATGCTCAAGCTGACTTGCCCCAAATGGTAGAGTTAGAAAAATACCAGGGGATTCCAATTCAATCCCATCAAGGTGGCATGTACCAATGCCATCTCACTATTCCAAGTGATCAATTTCAGTTCACAATTGATCATAATGAAAGGACTAAGAGTCAAAGGGAAGCACATAAACAAGTCTAGTACCTGCTAAAACTAACCAATAGAATGAATAAAGGGGAGAGTGATCCAACATGGGAAGTGAGATACTCAGCAGACTCATAGAATGGCAGATGTCCTAAATAGCACTCTGGCCTCAGAATCAGCCCTAAAGGCATTCGGATCTGGCTGAAAAGCCCATGAGAGTATTTCAGGCATGGAAAGCCAAGACACTCTGGCAAAAGATCTCTGTGAGTGAGATCCCAGTGGAAAGAACAAGTCTTCAAAGAAGGAGGTACCTTTCTCTGAAGGGAGGAGAGAACTTCCACTTTGACTATGACCTTGTCTAAACAAGATAAGAATCGGAGAACTCAGAGGGCTTCCATAGCCTTGGAAACTCATGACTGGAGCATAGGGAGATTACTGATGGCATAGACAGGAGTGTCAATTGGTAAAGTCAACCACAGGAGTCACTGTGCACTTACTCCTCATGTAGGATCTCTGTCCTTAATGTGCTGTGCATTGAGATTTAATGCTATAACGAGTACTCAAACAATATATTTCACTTTGTGTTTCTATGTGGGTGCAAACTGTTGAAATCCTTACTTAATGCATACTAAACTGATCCTCTGTAAAAAAAAAAAAAAAAAAAAAAAAAGAAAGAAATTATCAACTCCCAACTTGACTCTCACTGGGATTAAACATGACAATAGGCCTGATCTGATTTCATCATCATTTAAAAAATCATCTATTATTTTTCACTTTATGTTTCTGTGTGGGAGCAAACTGCTGAAATCCTTACTTAATGTACACTAAGCTGATCTTCTGTATATTAAGATAATCGAAAATTAATCTTGATGTGAATGGAAGGGGAGAGGGAGTGGGAAAGGGGAGGGTTGTGGGTGGGAGGGATGGTATGGGGGGGAAGCCATTGTAATCCATAAATCGTACTTTGGAAATTTATATTCATTAAATAAAAGTTAAAAAAAAAAGAAGCCAGAGGTAGGCATCAAACTCAGATGCCCTGACATGGTATACAAGCAACTTAACTAGTGTCCTAGCTACTAACCAAAAGCCTGCCCTTGAATTCTGATTTGTATGGCAATATTAGATGTGGAATCAACAGCAGTGTTCATTAATACATAAATGTATTTTGAAAAGTGAAATAAATATACATATATACACAATAGAATATTATCCAGCTTCAGAAAACATGAACATTCTGTCATTTATGACAAGGATCAACTTGTATAACACTATGCCAAACGAAATAAGCCAACTACAAAAAGACCAACACTTTATGATGTCACTTTTATGAAGAATTTATGAAAATTGGACTTATAAGATAGTAGAATTATTGTTGCAAGGGTATAAAAAAATAAGAGGGGAAATGTGGATCAAAAGCCATAAAGTTTCAATTATTCAGGCTGTATAAGTTCCAGAGATAAAACATATAGCAACATTACTGTAGCTGATAGTAACATTTTGCATGCAAAAAATTTGTCAGTAGATCCTACATTTTTTTCACTATGAAAATATAACTATGTGAGGTGATGGATATATGTCATTCAGCTTAATTTGGGTAACTATTTAATAATGCATGCATATATAAAATATCCCATCCTACACTATAAATGCATAAAAATTTTATCAATTAGACTTCAATAAAACTGAGAAGATAAAAAAGAAAGTACAGGAGCCAACATTGTGGCTTAGCAGGTTAAGTTGTCTCCTGAAACACTAGCATATCCTATGAGTGCGAGTCCATGTCCTGGATGTTCCACTGCTGATCCACCTCCCTGTTAATGGCCTGAAAAGAAGCAGCAGAAAATGGCCCATGTTGAGGCTCTTGCCATCCACATGGGAGACCAGATGAAGCTACTGGCTCCTGGCTTCCATCTAGCCCAGCTCTGACCATTGTAGCTCTCTGGATGATGAAACAGCATATAGAAGATCTTTCTTTCTCTCTCTCTCTCCCCCAACTCTGACCTTCAAATAAATAAATAAATAAATAAGTAAATAGTATATGTTACAAGACTTGAATCTAAGTGGCCGCTAATTTAATTTGGGCAAGGCTGAATATATGATCTATACTGCATTATGTTTTCTGAAAAGCACTGGTTTTCAGATAGTGTTGCTATTTCTCAGTAAAATTGAGAAATAATATTTTCCCAGAGATCAGAGTTTAAAAGGAAATATCCAGATTTTGCTGACATAGAGCATTGAAATGTGGAAAGATGATAATTATGTTTTGCTTCCCTACTGAAAATTTGAGTCTTATGATTTTCTTCAAAATATGAGTTTTCAATGAAAATCAGAAATTAGCAAATGAAACCAAAACATGAGTATAATTATGATCTTTCATTTTTAATTTGAAATATTTACTATCAAAAACTTTCACTTGTCATCATTAACTGTGTTTAAAACCATTGTTGGAGGCTTTATTCTTGAATAAATTTATATATAACATAAATAACAGTAGTATTAGTTTCTCTAATTTAGTTTTTTTAATTTTTCCCAATAATGTAATTCAGAAAATTGTGACTTCATGATCAATGTGTGCCTACTTACACAAAATATACACATTGTAAAACCCTAGGTTATTTTTATTTTTGTTTATCCATTCTCAAATTCTATTTTCTTTTTCAACATATTCTCATTCATCTACCTTATATCATGGTCCTATTAATTACACTTATCATTACTGCAACTCCCCTAATTCCACAAAGTAAACACTCACAAATGCCCTCATAGGTTTTGAAAGTCACTGCATTCTTTCAAATATGAGTTATCAATTTGTTTCAATATTTAAAATGCTTCACCTGTAACTCAATTTCTATTTCTTTTTTTTATTTTTTAACTTTTATTTAATGAATATAAATTTCCAAAGTACAGAATATTGATTACAATGACTTCCCCCCCATAACGTCCCTCCAACCTGCAACCCTCCCCTTATCCACTCCCTCTCCCCTTCCATTCATGTCAAGATTCATTTTCGATTCTCTTTATATACAGAAGATCAATTTAGCATACATTAAGTAAAGATTTCAACAGTTTGCTCCCACACAGAAACATAAAGTGAAAAATACTGTTTGAGTACTAGTTATAGCATTAGATCTCAATGTACAGCACACTAAGGACAAAGATCCTACGTGAGGAGTAAATGCACTGTGACTCCTGTTGTTGACTTAACAAATTGACACTCTTGTGTATGGCATCAGTAATCACCCTAGGCTCTTGTCATGAGCTGCAAAGGCTATGGAAGCCCCCTGAGTTCACCGACTCTGATCATTTTTAGACAAGGCCATGGTCAAAGTGGAAGTTCTCTCCTCCCTTCAGAGAAAAGTACCTCCTTCTTTGATGACCCGTTCTTTCCACTGGGATCTCACTCGTGGAGATCTTTCATTTAGGTTTTGTTTTTTTTTTGTTTTTTTTTCCCCCAGAGTGTCTTGGCTTTCCATGCCTGAAATACTCTCATGGGCATTTCAGCCGGATCCGCATGCCTTAAGGGCTGATTATGAGGCCAGAGTGCTGTTGAGGACATCTGCCACTCTATGGGTCTGCTGTGTATCTCACTTCCCATGTTGGACCATTGTCTCCCTTTTTTATTCTATCAGCTAGTATTTGCAGACACTATTCTTGTTTATGTGATCCCTTTGGTTCTTAGTCCTATCATTACGATCAGTTGTGAACAGAAATTGATCACTGGGACTAGTGAGATGGCATTGGTACATGCCACCTCGATGGGATTGAATTCGAATCCCCTGGTATGTTTCTAACT